GGCAAAAACACCCAGCGGGCCGGATAAATGTCCTCGGCGGGCTGCATGTGGCCCGCAGGCCATAGTTTGAGGACGCCTGCTCTAAGCTCAAACCTATGAACCTTGAGTCGACTCCGACTCACAGCGACGGGGTAGCACTGCACCTGTGGGCTTCCCAGGTAACTGCTCTGGAAGAAGAGTCTCAACTCCCGGGTGCTGTAGCTCTTCTGGATGTATACAGTCACCGTTTCCTTGCTCAGAGCTGCTGGTGGTTTGGACTGAACTGCTGACCTTGAGGTTAGCAGCCCAACAGGTTATGAAACGCTATGCCATGAGGGCTCCTTGCGTAGGCCAACAGACAAGGAAAATCACTGTCCACTGAGAAGAGGTCATCTTTTGTCACGTCCTTCCCAATCCTTGCCAATCACACACGCACAGACCCACACATACAAGGGTATGTGCAAAAGCATTGCGACTGTTCTAGTTCACCCATGTATGGGCTTCCTCCATGCAAAACACGTTTAAGGGATTCTCTGTGATCGGGCCTGCAGACAAGTTCGCTCAGCAATACATTTGTCTGAATCTCCTTAAGGTGTTTGCAAAACAACAAACAAACAGGGAGCGGGGTTGATTTTGAGGTCAAGGCTAATTTCAAAATTTTAACAAATCTCAAGTGGACATCTTCCCAGATCAGTGCAGCTTTGCCACACGTTTATGGGAAAGCTGGCCCACATAACAAGAGCTTCTCGGACTATGTGTTCTCAACAAGTGTTTCAAGGCAGGTGGAGAAGACCTCCAAGATGACTCCAGGGCAGAGGGGCGAGCTGCGAAGGTTATGGTGATGGTGTTTTGCGTTCCGGCGGGAGCCATCTTCATACATTCTCTGGAAGGCTGCAGGATGATGGGAGAGGCCTCTGGAGAAGGTTTAAGCAAACAGAAACCTGCCTTGGTGGGAAAAAAGCCAGGGAAGATGCCCAAGGTGTTCCCCATAAGCACCTGCTCGTTCTTTGAGGGGAGCAAGGACTACCTCCTTGGCAAGCTCAGTCCCCCCTTCCTACAGCGCTGATCCGAGCCCTGCAGGCTGCTTTTGGTTCTCCGATCTCGAGAGCACTGAGAAGAAGCACGGTCCGAGTCCCGTGAGGAGATGGTGTACTTGAGGAGGACAGGGTTCTTTGGGGGAAGAATCAGGTGGAAATATCACCTCCAGACGCACGCAGACTCAACAGAGGATTGGCCGAGACGACAGCTTCCCAGCAGTCTGGATCTTTGCTTAACAAGGTTTCTATGACCCTGCAGCAGCTCTGGTTTACCCCGGCGCATTGTTTCTGCAGTGCTACCTGCACGCACATATCTCGTCTCTTTAGCTGGACGGTGGACCTGAAGACAGGATCATGCAAACTGCGAGCAGCTTCCTTATCAATATCAAATGGGATCGCTGGCAGGCCGGGCAGCCACTCAAAAATCCTTTGGACAAATGCTGATAGTTGCATGCCCAAGTCTGGTTTCTAAGTTTTCGACCGTGCACGATGACTTAAGAAATGGGAAATCATTTCTCTTGGGAGATGATCACCCTTACATAGAAATGCAAGAAACTGGCCTTCCCAGGTACTAGATTATTTCCAGATAGTAGGAAGCAAGCAGGTCTCCTTCAAGAGACGTCAATGATCGAAGACTAAAAACCCGAAAGCCAAACCTGTCCCCGGTGATCCATTGTGGCTCATGGTGAACCCATGTGTTGTAGACTAGAACGGCTCTAGAAGGTTCTCTTGGTTGTACCTTAATGAAGCAGAGGGCCAGCCTATGTTCTGTGGCCCCACTGAGCTGAGAGAGTTAGAGCTAGGGACAGGTTTTCTGGGAGGCAGAGCCTCCCCACAGAATCCACGGTTCAAATCCACTGAAATGCAAATTCCACCTTCATTTCCCAGAGGACACAGTCAAGCCTGAGAGCCGTCCTTTCAATCACTCGAGTACCAAGCTGGTCAGCCTTTCTGCACACATACACACCCGTTCCCATAGAGACTGCTGGGCCCAAAAGTCCCTCTGAACCAGCCACGGTCGGTTTCTGTTTGATCTTTGTGTCCTGTCTTGTGTTATTCCTGTGCTTTTAGGAAAGCAGGGCAGCTCAGGACCCGTTTCCAGCGGCTGGGGAATGTATCTGGGGTAATGTGTGCGCAGGTCTGAATGTCCGAGAGGGACAGGCACTGGTCTTTGACTCCCTGGCACCGTCCGCCATGCTGCCTCATGAGACAACCACAAGGAGTGGGCTTGGTACTGGGCTGCTAACAGTTCAAAGTCAGTAGTTCGATCCCACCAGATGCTCACGGGAGGGAGATGAGGCCGTCTGCTCCTGTAAAGCTCTAGTCTTGGAAACCCAGCAGGGCAGTTCTGCTCTGCCCCACAGGGTTTGCTCTGAGTCACAGTCGACTGCGTGGCCATGAGCTGGAGTTTTTGAGGTAATCAGGGGACTGGGGTAGAATGAGTTGAACATGCTACAGCCAAAGGAAGGCTGATGGGACTCCTCCACTTGCCCATCAATCGTTCACCAAATTCTAACAACATGTACACCCGAGCTCTCATTCCCGGGGAGCAGTGGCGTGGGCCCTGCCAGCCGAGGACATGTCAGGAAGGGTTTGTTTGTTGGAGAACACTCTTGACCGCTGCTCGTGTAAATCCCCAGCCACCCAGCACGACCTCGCTTTCCTCCTCATTGGCTGCACGCGGCTGTGGTTGGCTGCCACCGAGTTGGTTCTAACCCATAGCGACCCCTGTGCACAGTAGAACGAGGCCTTGCTCGGTCCTGCACCGTCCTCAGAGTAGTTCTTATGCTGGAGCCCATTTGTCACATGCCGATATTTAAATAGAAACTGCAGTGTTACCGGCACTGCCTGATAATAAAATCCTGTTGGGGGAGGTGAGGAGTCAAAATCTTTCTTTAAATGATTTTCATCGCTAACATACGTAGCTGAAAACAGACATACTTATATTACATAAGGTCTATTTTTACGAAAAAGAAACAATAAGAATGTGGGATGTCAACAACATCTCTGTTCCTGAAGCAGGATCAGCATCGGCAACATCAGCATCTCCCGGCCAACTACTTACTGAAAATAGGCATGCAGCCAGTTCTGCTTCTCCGCCGTCTGGATGCTGTAGGGCAGAGAGCCCCCCGCTTTCAAAAGAGGAGTAGGGCAAAATAAGTCAGTGACAATACACGATGAGAGGTAATGAGAGGGTCCCTCCATTACGGGAATGGACAGTCAGCAGTCAGACAGCAACAACCCCAAGCAAACAAAGGGGCACGGCTTCCATGACACAGCTTCTCGAGTCCTGCTTGGCAGGAAAAGACGAAGGCCTGTCCTTGCGCTAGGCTGCTTGCTCCAGGGGGGCTGCTTTCTCAGGGACGCACAGTAAACCGCACGTGGTTACTCTCTGAAAAGAAGCGGGGCTTCCTGAAGCACTCGGGCGGCCACTACCCGCTAGCAGCACAGACCGGAAGGTGCTAGAAAGGACCAGGGACAGGAAGTCTTGCCACTCACTTGCAGGTGAGGCCTCCTAGGCCTCCTGCCTCCTTGTGCACAGGTCTGCTGTTCTGCTCAGGACCAGGACACTTGGACTGGAGGACCAGAGTGAGCACGGGGTCCCCGTTTCCATCCACATCTACACTGTACTGCTTCCAGCTAGACCTCGAATTACTAAAGCACAGCCTGGCCAATGGACTGGGCCAATCACAAAAAGAAGTAAGAGTGCTCCTCAGACATTTTCTTAAAAAAAAAAAAGTTCCCTAGACCTAAGTCCGCAGAGAGGCTAAAGGTTCTGTCCCAGGTGGGACTATCATTAAAAGCCACTTGTCCTTCCTCTTTCCAAGCAGGCAAATTCCACTGTAGCCTCACCAGTGCCTTTAGAAATGCACTGGGAACTTCTCCACAAAAATCTCTAACCAAAGAGGGCCTAGGGGGCTCCCGGAGTGTTGAGAAAGGCCTGGCTCTTTCTGGCTCTTGTTACAAATCATTAAAGCCATATTCAGAACATGGAAATACCGTGTTCCCCCCGCCCCCATCGGAGGCACATGACAATGCCCGCAGCCTAGGAGAGGAACAGAAAGGAGAAGACGAGGGGAAAACAGCGCCACGTTCCCAACTCCCGGCTCAGACCGTAAGTTCTGCCATTCAGGGGCAAGCAATGGGCTCATCCACTCCCCACTCCGTGGAGCCGCTCTGGCCGGGCCACAGCTGGTGTGATCAGCACAAATTGGTCTAATTCAGGCCATTCTGCTTTGAGCAGACAGCAAATGCCAAGCAGACTCCTTTCCAGAGGCACAAGCTATTTAGATCTGTAGTTAATACCCCTTGATGGTGTTATCTCGGGCACCGCTGACTTCCAAATCCAGTGCAGGGTCCAGGACTGGTGTCTGAGAAATGGAGCGCAGGGCCACACGAAGCCTACAAAGTAACCACGGGCCTCTGTGGCGTGGACGAAGCCCGTGGGAGAACAGAGGGACCACTTTGCTTACAACAAAGCTCATCTCGATGCTCAATAGAGGCAGTAGGCCTTCAGTATATCGTACCTAGGGCTCAACTGGGGATGCGCTACACAGTGCCTCAGACACAGCGCCCTCACCTGGGGAGAGGGAGGCACGAGGCGGTGGAGAGCGTGAGAGAAGGTCACAGCTACGCTCTGATGGTCATCTGGGGGTCTTGTTTGAACAAGCTGTTGGTGGCAGAGTTGAGCACAGCCTCAGCGGTCCTGTGGCAGAACAGTCCTGCCGTGGGCTCCGGTCAGCCTTGGGTAGCGAACCCAAAGGGCCCAGCTGGGCAGGGCCATCGCTGGGACCCAGCAGTACTCAGTGGCCCCCATTTTCATCCAGCCCACAGAAACTCACTCACTGCCAAGGGGTCACTACCACCACATTGTACTCCTAGAGGACAGGGCAGAACCGCCCCTGTGGGTTTCTGAGGTCACAACTCTTTACGGGGGTTTGAAAGCCCTGTCTTTCTTCCCAGGAGCAGTCAGTGATTTTGATCTGCTGACCTTGTGGTTAGCAGCCCAATGTGTAACCGCTATATGCCACCAGGGCTCTTGCCCAAAGAAAGGCATCTCCCACTTTCTCACCGATGCTTTGCTCACCCCCAGGAAGGCCGTCTGAGCGCTTGTTTGAGAGTCAGTGGGGCATTGCGCGCACACACACACCCCACCCCCCCACCCTCCGCCTACACTGGGACACCCTCCCACCGTTACCAGGGTATCCTTCTAGGCTTGTCCGCACATTTTCCACGGAAGGGTAGATCTGAAAAGAACAAGACAAAACAAATGCCATGTACCTTGTTGGAGACACAATTTCTTAGGAGGTATTATTTCATTTTGAGAACATGAAAATCTCAATTCAAAACACTTCAAAACTTGGAGAGTACGCTTTAAAAATGTGCTTAAAGGGAGCCTGTCTGATTGAGAAAATTGAACTTCGACTAATTAAATTACAAGAGTATAGTTAGATGGTGGGGCGGCGGGGGGAAAGACACTTCGTTTTGAATATTTTCCCCCTTTAAATGCCAAATGAATACTAGATAAAATGCAAGATTCACTCCTCCTCCACAGGTCTCTAAAGAATTAAGAATGCACCAGTTGGCATCGACCCGATGGCAGTGAGGCTTGAGGATCATTCTGCCCCAACGTCATATTAGACGTTTTAAGGGTTTGGGGCCTGGACCTGATGACCAGAGAAAAGGTATGGTTAGCCCGTGGCTGCGGGGGACCTCCTGATAAGCTGAATGAGTTCACAGACTCATGACGCCCAATGCAGATGCTTATTGACTGTCGCCCCCAACCCCACATCCCTGACTACGGCATCTCTACAGCATCTCCATCACAAAGAGGATCGTACCCTCAAAGGGCAGGTGCCACGGACTGCTGGAAAGACAAGCAAATGTGCCTTGGAAAAAGCAAGCCGGATACTTCTCGGCGACTCGGATGGGGAGATTTCATCTCATATCCTCTGGACATGTTGTCAGGAGAGACCAGTCCCTGGAGAAGGGCAGCAGGGCAGCAGGAAAGAGGGCCCTCGACCAGATGGACTGGCACCGTGGCTGTAACAATGGGCCCGAACAGCAACAATTGTGAGGATGGTACAAGACCAGACGGTAGTTTGATCATTGTACACAGGGTCTCTACGAGTCAGAGGGACTCGATGGCTCCTAGTGACAAAAACAGGACAGAGTAGAACTGCCCCCTGGGGCTTCTGAGACCATAAACCTTTACTAGAGCAGACAGTTGGTGGGTCTGGACCACAGCCCTGGCAGTCAGCAGCCCAATGCACAACTTAACTCTCCAACCACTAGGACTTTACAGACTCCACGAACCCTTGGCCCAGCACTCACCAGATGAAGAGGAACGGCACTTTTCCCTGGGATCCTGCCCGGCTTGCCTAGCGTCATCAGGCTCTCTTTAAACTCAGAAGAGAGCCATTTGGTTTCATCCGCCCCCAAGGAGCCGATGCTGGAAAACTGGCCGACAATGGGCCAACGCTCGGCTTCAGGAAGGGGCGAGGCGTTATCTCTCAGCAGCTGTAAAAGAAATGTATAGTCAAGGCTGTAGCCGCTCAAACCACACGGACCACATGCTGAATGATGAAAACACTGGTGTCCCTGCCTCTGAAAGGCACAATCAGCATGGCAAGGCTCAAAACACGACGATCAAGTTTAGACCCTGTTTTCACCTCTTTGTGAAATATTTCAAATATTAGAAATATTTAAGCGAATAATCGGACTCGAGAAAATTTCTTCTTTCAAAATTCTAGGATTCATAGAGAAAGCAAACACACACACACACACTCCACTTTTAGTAACAACAGCAAGTTAACCATCAACCTGTTTTATGAAATTAGATGTCTGCCTGGGAATCATAGGTGTTTGTTATCCCTAGAAAGTCAAAATACGGTGTGATTTGACTCCTAATATTTAAATGAGGCCTAATACACCTGAGTCTTGGCGGCATGGTGGTTATGTGTTGGACTGCTAGCGTTGAGGTTAGCAGTTTGAAACCACTAGCGGCTCCTGGGGAGAAAAAGGAGACTTTCAACTCATGTAAAGAGTTCCAGTTTGGGAAAGTGACAGGGGCAGTTCTACGCTGTCCTATAGGGTCACTGTGAGTCAGAACTGATTCGATGGAAGTGAATGAATACATTCAGCTTTACTACTTGGACCCCAGTAACAGTGATGGTCAAAAAAGAAAACAGAAACCACTGAAACCTGGATATATAACACCTGTAGAGCCCTGCAGATTATTGATCTGAATCTTCTGCCTTGTGTTTGATACTTAAACAACGGTGAAAAAAAATGGACTCATAGATTATTTGGAAAAGAGATTCCACTTATACTCAAAGTGATTTCATGTATTGAAGTTATATCTTAGAGGCACAAGAGGGGACTTGTCGCAGAAAGGTGAGAAATAAGAGTATGAATGTGTTTGTTTCAAAAAATATTATTTGATAAGGGGATTTATGTCTAGATTATAAAGAACATGCACACTTCAATAATAAAGGAATAACCCAGTTTTAAAATGCGCATAGAATCTGAAGACATTTCTCCAACGGTTTACAGTGAATAAGTACATGATAAGATGTTCAACTTCATTAGCTATCGGGGACTTTCAAATCAAAACCACAGTGGCGTATGACTTCACACTCAGAGATGGCTATCAAAGGTGGACAACAAATCTTGGTGAGGAGGTGATGGGAATGTGAAATTGTGCACATTTTAGAAATGGTTTAGTACTTCCTCAAAAATCGAAGGAATGGGTTACCATGCTGTTGTTAGGTGGCATCGGGTCAGTTCTGAGTCACAGTGACCCTGTGCAGCAGAAGGGTCCTCGCCATCCTCACAATTGCTCGTGTTTGCTGCACCATTGCAGCCACTGCGTCAGTCCGTCTTGTTGAGGGTCTTCCTCTTCTTCACTGCCCCTCTTTTACCAAGCATGATATCCTCATCCAGGGACTGGTCTCCCCTGATACTCCTTACTTCTCAGGAACATTGACGGATCTGTTGTTCTTTTGGCAGTCCGTGGTGCGCTCAATATTCTTCGCCAACACCAGAATTCAAATGCAGTGATACTTCTTCAGTCTTCCTTATTCAACGTCCAGGTTTCACATGTACATGAGGTGATCAAAAATACCATGGCTTGAGTCAGGTGCACCTAAGTCCTCAAAGTAATACCTTTGCGCCTCAACATTTTAAAGAGCTCTTTGTACAGACTTATCCAATGCATTGTTTGATCTCTTGATTGCTATGAGTACCGACTGTGGATACAAGCAAGACGAAATTCTTGACTTCAATCTTTTCTCCATTTGTCATTATGTCACTTCATTGGTCCAGTTGTGAGGATTTTGGTTTTCTTAACATTGAGTTGTAATCCATCCTGAAGGCTGCTATCTTTGATCTTCGCCAGTAAACGCTTCAAGTCATCTTTACTTTCAGCAAGCAAGGTAGTGTCATCTGTGTATTACAATAAAGCTTTCCCGATACCACATTCTTCTTTACATAGTCTAGCTTCTGTGATGATTTGCTCAGCAGACAGATTGAATTAAGTATAGTGAGAGGCTACTATCCTGACACAGAACTTCCCTGATTTTAAACCATGCAGTATTCTCTTGTTCTGCTCACACCTCTTGATCCATGGACAGGTTCCACATAAGCACAGTGAAGTGTTCTGGAATTCTCATTCTTCCCAAGGCAATCCATAGTCTGTTATGATCCAAATGGCCAAACGCCTTTATGTAATCAATAAAACACAAGCAAAGTTCTTTCTGATATTATCTGCCCTAAGCCAAGAGCCATCTGACATCGGCAGTATTATCCTTTGTTCCATGTCCTCTTCTGAATCCAGTTTGAGTTTCTGGCAGCTCCTTGTCTATACTTTGCTGCAAATGCTGTTGAATGATCTTCTGCAATTTTATTTGTATATGATAAGTTTGATATTTCCACATTCTGTTGGGTCATCTTTGTCTGGAATGGGTACAAATATGGATCTCCTCCCATCAGTTGGCAAGGAACTATCTTCCAGATTTCTTGGCTTGGCAAGTGAGCATGCTTCCAATGCTTCATTGGCTGGTTGAAGCAATTCAATTGGTATTGTCAGTTCCTGGAACCTTGTTTTTCACTAATGGTTTCAGTGCAGCTTGTACCTTCCTTCATTACCATTGGTTCTTGGTTATATGCTACCTCCTAAAATGGTGGAATGCTGCCTAGTTCCTTCTGGTATAGTGCCTCATCCTTCCACTTCCATATTAATACTGGAGTCTAGAATGGATATAAATGATACTTAAAATCTAGCATGAAAATTCGAGCCTGGTTTTTGAAGCACACTATCTCAGTGTTCAGATTATACTCATCTTTTGACGGAAGTAGTCTTTGAAATAAAATCTGATATTCGGTAGTATGAAATGCTACTGGTGTCGAGGAATGTTGGCATTGTGTGATATCAGAGGTGTGTGTATATGTGTGTGTGTGCGTTCCATGGGGACAGAAATGTAGCACTTTTAAAGATGATAAAATATTGATAATACTCATCCATTTTAGAGTACCTTAGGTATGAGAATGAAGTTTACATGACTTCAAAAATAATAAATGAGTAATATCCACCTTCATGTCCAACACTAGCTGGTGCATAAAGAGAGGAAGCATTCACAGAACCAAGTCCTTGATGTGGCATGAAGAAGGGGTCAGTGCAGACACAGAGTTCATAAATACAAACACATTTTGTACCGCCTCATCTAACTTGGAGTCCCCTAAATCATATTTCATGCCAGGGCAATGTGTTCTAATTATTTTGATTTTAAAATAATTATTAAGTAAAGACAGCAGAAGATTCTTCATTTCTTGTGCCACAAGCGTTGAAAAGTACCATTTTGGTGCGCCCCCCCCCACCGCCAGCTCCTAAATCGGCTTTGGGTTACAAATCAATTTGGCACTGATTATTCTGGGGACAGGAGGGGGCAATCTTCCCAGTATGCCTCTTATTCTGTAATATTCTCAATACCTGCATTACACTTATAAAATGCTAGGTTAAAAACATTCAAAGGACATTAGCTGGTCAACTGTCCCAAGATGTCCTTAAATGACACCGCTAGATGCCTGAGACGGGTTGTTGTTCTGGGGTTCCCGGCATGGCATGACTGTTTTGGGAGCTTCAGCCAACAATACCGAGCCTTGGTTGGTTCCTTACCAAGAAGGGGACTAACAGGACGTCAGTTGCTACATGCCTGTGCTCTGGACCTTTCAGCTCCCTCACCCAGGAGGAACTTTGTCTAGGCCTGCCTGTTCTCTGAAGTGCCAGGAAGGCCGCTTGTCAGGCCTGCTGTCTCTAATAAAGCACAAGAGGACAGGAGGCTCTTTATTCAAAGAGAAGGGCCTTCTGTTTCAGAGGGAAAAGGAGCAAAGGCTTAAAGAGTCTTGCTTCTCAGCGCCCAGCCTTTCTACAGAAACCCACTGTGTCTCTGCATCTTGTACCAGCCAGAGGACAGTCCCTC